AAGGTCATATAGCATTTGTCCTGATTTTTCTATATCAGTAGTATCCATTATAATCTTAAATCTCTTGTTTGATGAAGATTGGTTTCGTTTTAAAATTGCAGGCATCAGTTTTGCAAAAGCTTCAACACTAGTAGCACTAGCAAATGGATTTATCATGCCAAAATAACTTTGCCTTCCATGAGATGCAATTAACTTACCGTCTTTGGAATAACTGAGATCAATTTCCATACCATCACATATAAGATCCTCAGCAAATCTACTTTGCGAAAATCCAATAAACCCTCTTGTAACAAGAGTATTATGTGAAATAACATAAACTTTATGATCATCTTGTGTTTCTTGAACTTCTTTACCCAACATTTCATTTTCATCTTGTATATTTTGAATTTCCTTACCCTGTACTTCTTTTTTTATCCTTTTAATTTTTTTACCCCATCCTTCTCTTTTTTCTCTCTTTAGTGCCTTCTTTAACGTTTCATCTGCCATATCAAGAGATTGCTTAAATTGACTTTTTACAGGATGATAATTGTGGTTAGTAGTACGATTACTATCCGATTTTATTATTGGCAATTTTTGTGATACGCTCAGAATTGAATTTGTTAATGTAGAAAGCATTTTTTTATCCTCAATCTATTAATAAACCATATTAATAGTTAAAATCTTAAACTATTAATTAAAATTTTAATATATAAGCTATTAAGGAATTATTAATCATAAGTGTTAAAAGTTATAAGTATCAGTTCAGGAATGTGGCAAAAAATAGTAAATTTATTAAAATGGAGACGGCTAAATATATGACCAATCTTTTGATATTATATGAAATTTAATGAGAAAATTGATATATTTAAACTCGTTAAACCTGCATATGAACTATATACCACCAAATAAGTGCTATTTACTTAACAAATTTACTGATATCGGTATTATTGAGTTTTGTATGAACTTACTGTAATTTGTATACCTATACGGTGCTACATAATAAAGGCTATCCGAAGCTAGAGTTAATTATATAATAATTATGTTAAATTATTCAATATAATATATCTCTTTTCTAAACATAGAATATATATTAAAATATTCAAATTACATGACACCAAGGTATTTTATGAGTGAAAAAAAATTAAAAGCTGCTGTTGTTATGTCAGGATGTGGTCATCTTGATGGAACAGAAATAAAAGAAGCTGTTTTAAGCTTACTAGTGCTTGATCAACAAGAAGTAAATATTACATGTTTTGCACCTGATATTAGCATCCCACAAGTTATAAATCATAAAACAAGAGAAGCAACAAAAGAGAAAAGAAATGCACTTATAGAAACCGCAAGAATTGCAAGAGGTGAAGTATATGACTTAAAAGAAGCTAAAGCTGAAGATTTTGATATGTTAATTGTACCCGGAGGATATGGAGTTGCAAAAAATTTATCCAGCTTAGATGAAAATAAAGGCACAATAACAGTAATACCTGAATTTAGAAAGTTAGTTC